TGATCACGCCCAACTATGCCTTCTAAAAAGGACAATGCGGTCGTTGCAAATATAATCCGGTTTACAAGTCCGGAGTCGAATCCCACAGAGAATTAACCTATCAATTACCTTTGTTGGAATCACTAAATCCTTTATAATCACTTTCCCAAACTTTGTAAACAATATTGGATGGTATTTCTACTAACTAAGATTGAAAGTAAATAACTAACAGCTGTAAACTAAATATTCTTGGGTTGAAAACAATAATGAGAAGGTTCTAAGGTAGTGATTTCCCCTATTGATGGAATCCCTTCCGGTTACGTTGCATATAGATTCACCAAAATATCTCTATCAATCATGAGCACTCTTATTACTGTAAATCTCTCCCGAGTAATTGCGATAATTTACTAGACGCACTCTCCCGAGATACGCTAGCTGCCTTTGATTATTACAGCTCACTTTAAATCACACCCAAGGCTTCGTTATCCCTAATCCCGCCTTTAAACCCGCAATTATAGATCCCTCTTATACTTTGGGAGTGGTGTTGTTCAATAATTACCTAAATATGCACTCTCTCCCGAGTTATGCACACTAAATAGGCACAGCTAATTGAGGATCCTGTCAATTAACTACAATAAACACGTAATTGAACAAATAGAGATTAACCGGTAAACTATATGAACATAATCAAGAAGTTCATCCTTCAATAGGTTCCATCAAAACCTTAGACTAAAGTATTTAGCTACTCATAACAACTTGAAGATAATCTACGAAAATATTTATCATGTAAAATTGCAAGAAACAGAAGAGAATAAAGAACTATGATGTTTTGGGTGATCTCTCACACTTGTGTTTCTTGCCCAAGAACTCTCTAAAACCAATCTGACCTAATGAGGCCGAAATCCTACTTTTTATAAGGGTTTTACACCAATTTTTCCCGGCTTGACAATCCTGCCCCTGGCTAGTTCGCGTTCTGCCGCGGTCCCACCGCGGTTACGCCGGGACCGCGGCTAAAAAGGGTCTCTGAATCTTCATCTCTACTCTGCCGCGGTCCTACCGCGGTTACGGTCTGACCGCGGCAGGCCAACTTCTGCCTTCCTTTGACTTTTCACTTGGTGCATTTCTTGGGCATTGTTTGATTGGCCTCCTTTTCTCCGTAATTGATCCCAAACTTGCTCCATCGACTTATTTCTTTGGATATAACCTGCAAAGCATGAAAAACACTAATCATAGCATTTGGTTATCACTTTTTACAACAAAGCAATACAAAAATGTGGTTCTTTAGGGTCTAATTATAGTCTAATTCACCTATTATCAATACCCTACACTTAAATCTTTGCTCGTCCTCGAGCAAGTTAAACCACACTTTTAGGCCTAATCATTTGAAGCATTACCCTTTTTATGTCACACCTGCTATTATGAAAGAACAACCTAAGCAGTGCAACAGCCACACCTCAGATGAGGACTCTAATGCTATGTCACACTCATGCTTACTCTATGTACTCTAACAGAAGTGAAGACTTGCTTTTTCTTCTTGAGTTCGATGCCCTCACATCACATTTTTTGAGAGAAGTTCCACACACATGA